CCTTGCCTAGCCTGTGTGAGGAGCTGGGTTCTATCCTCAGCACCACAAAGCAGAGAAAGGAAAAGGCATACTGAAGAATCAAATTCATAGTGTTTCTCTGAAGATCAAACCAGCCAGCCGATTATGTGAGTTTACAAAGCTCTCAGCACTAGGTTTGTCATGGTGACATTCAAAAGACACTCCCACTGGCCTGGAAAGGGGGCAGAAGCTGCCTAGTTTCTGTCCACAGAGCTCGACTCAGGGCCTAAAGCAGCCCAGGGATGGATGAACATGGCTTGAATAAGAGCCAAGTGTGGGGCAGCTACCTGTTCATAGTTGGGGGAAGGACATCGGTGTCTAAGTGAGGAGAGTGCACCAGCACAAGGCTGTGCTAACCTGGGGGAAGAGCTATGCTACAAGTGTCTCATCCAGGGTCTCCTTTTAGGATCTGGCCCTGGACCTGAACCGAGACCTCCAGCCACCACCACGCGTAAACCACAGCCCACGGCACCCTCCACTGTCTGCCCCACTCTGCCCCCCACAGCAGGCCCTACAGGCCCTCCTGCAGCTGGCCCTACAGCCCCCACCTCAGCTGGCCCGACAGGCCCCCCCACTGCGGGCCCCTCTCTGGCCCCTACGAAATCTTTTTATCCAGTGGACAATCCCTGCCACGTGAACATTTTTGATGCCATCGCAGAGATCGGGAACTATCTGCATTTCTTCAAGGATGGGTGAGCTGCTAGGATGTGTGGATGAGGGAAGAGTTTGGAGGAGGCCTGGCCTGTCCCTTCCTCCCCGCCCACTGGCCGTCCCTAAAGCGTCAGGGCCTTTGTCCGGTTCCCAGGCGGTACTGGAGGTTTTCTGAGGGCCGAGGGCGTCGGCTGCAGGGCCCTTTCCTTATCGCCGACATGTGGCCCGCGCTGCCCACCAAACTGGACTCTGCATTTGAGGAACCGCTTTCCAAGAAGATCTTCTTCTTTTCGGGTTAGTTTCCTCCTCTCTCCCTTCGCCACCCCTCATCCTCCACCAGTCAGGGAGGATCAACCCAGGATAACCTGAAAATCAGAAGACAATTAGACGACAACTCCTGGCGGACGTAATTTAACATGTTTATAGGGGCTGAATTTCTGTCTTGCTCCTCGCAGCGACTTCGCACAGTCGTACCCAGTGGCTCTGCCCCTTGGGTGCAGAGACTGTGGGCTGTCGGGCTAGGAAAAGGCTCCACAGCGCTCCCAGGTCGACGTGACCTTGACCCTTCTGCCGTGCAGGGCGCCAAGTGTGGGTGTACACAGGCGCGTCCGTGCTGGGCCCGAGGCGTCTGGACAAATTGGGCCTGGGCTCTGAGGTAACCCAGGTCACCGGGATGATCTCGAACGGCGGCGGAAAGGCTCTGCTTTTCAGCACCGAGCGCTTCTGGAGGTGAGCGCCGCCGCGGCCGCCGCCAGGGGGAGCCCGGGAGC